AGAGCAATATGAACTTGAATATCAATCCCAACGCTCTCTGGCCACACTAACATAGTATCCAATGTCGCTCCTACTGTCTGGCACCCAGCACCCAGCCGACACTACTCAGCCTATCTATCCCATCTACGCTCAAGCAACACAGGATCGCTTCGACGTTAAAGACCAATGCACGTGACTTCAAAGACCAATGCACATGACTTCGATACCAATGCAGACCGCCAGCATACACCAGGTACGTTCTCTCTTCTCCCCTCATCACACCCTGTCTCCCCTCTGCATGCGCGTCCTACCCAAAGACCACCATCGCCATCACCTTCCACCGTACGCTCGGCCTGGCTATGGCTGCCATGCGCCCGTTGCCACCGCAGCGCCCTCACACCTCTTGCGCCCGTGTGCGCCCTGGCCGGCTAGCGCCACCACAGCAGTGCTGGGCAATGCAGCAGCCTGGCTGCTATGACTGCCTAGGCCAGAATATGCCCCTGCCTGGGCAGGGCACTGTGTCTGGCTGCGTGGGCCTGGCTGGGCAAGTTTTCAGTAGCTTCCAGTCGGGCCCCAGTGACTGTGCCCAGGGCCCCCTTTGCTGTTACAGGCCTGGGCTCTTTACAGTTGCTGCATTCTCATTGGCCTGCGGCCTGTTCATGATGTGTCGGGCTCTCAGTGTGTGTGCCCAGGGCACAGCCAGCCGAGCAACTGTCTGATACCCGGCATAAGGAAATGTCCAAAGTAGATCTCACGTGGATATTCGGGCCCACCTTCACTTAGGGCGGGCACGAGGCGTGCCGGAGGCCACAGTCCAGAATACTTGCATGTCTGTAAGGGACCCGTGAGGGCTCAGTCCGCGCAACTCTTTTCATATGCCTTTTTTGTTCCGTGGGCTGCTATGCTGTTGTCTCTTCACGTCTGGAGTCTAATTGGACTTTCCTCACTCTATCACTACCATATCTGTGTTTTATTTTTTCACATTTGGAAGCCCCATTCTACTGGGGGGGGGGGTGTTGCCACAGACTGGTTGCATCGCTGCTCTTTCGTATTTCGCACATGATTGATGTCAATATCAGATGCTCGTCATCTCTGCGTCGGAATTAAATGGTGACTTGATTGATTAAATCAGGCGACAATGTGCGGTGCAGTGATCGGTTCCATCGGTTGTTTCCATCATCGAGTATTCATTAACCAGCAACACGTTACAACCCTCTTGCCTCGCATAGACACTCGTCATCAGTTTTTTTTCTATCTTCATCATCTTCCTTGAAACAAGTGTTGAACTATGTTCTACACAATAGACGGTGTTCAAAGTATCGCTTCAGCAGTGTTCTTCCTTCCAGCTTTCTCTGTCTCACTGCATCTCTCTCTCTCTCAATGTGCACAGGGAAAAAAGGGTGCCGCACACTCATGTTCACTCTTGAGAGTCGTCGAGGGAGATCTTACCAGCTACTCATTTTAACGAAACAGGGGATACCCTGCAAAGAACCTCGCAAGATTCAACTCAAAATTCAACATGCAATTGATAACATTCAGATGGCTTTCGCACAAGCTTGAGTGGTGTCCATGAACAGTGCAAATTCGAAGTTCCACTCAAAGCACAATAATATACACTTGAAAAAGTTTGGGAATAAGCGGTTTCAACCGCTGCAACACTCCTCAGGTATGTACCTGACTCCCTCCTGCTTTTCTCTCTCGCTCGCTCTCTCTATATACTCTACTCCTCTCTCTTCACTTGCACTGTCCCTCACTCACTGTTCCTCTCTCTACGATGTCCCAGATATACCCTGTATGCCTCTGCGGTGTGTCTCACTGCAAACGGGCGGGTACGGCCGCCAAATACTTTGTCTCCTTCCTTCTGGCGATGGTGGTCTGTTGCAGCCAGGGTGCTGGTCGTCTTCCTCCCTTCAGCGGTCTTCTTCGTCCAGGTCGCTAGTCTGCACAAGCTCCAGCAGCGCTTCCACAAATTTACGAAATGAACAACTGACTGCCTCCGGCACTGTGGTCCAAGGTATACAGTTAGTGGACTGTTTAATGCCTGCTTCAATCGGTACTGCCCTCCTTCAGCCTCTGCCTTGCCAATTGCTATTTTGGGAAATTTCCCGACTTTCTTGTGAGGCTGCTGCAAAATTGTACTTTTGGGGACTTGATGTGCTCCGACCGGTACTGTACGGTACTGTACGGTACTGTAGCCTACGGACCTACGGTCTCTGATCGTACAGGCCCTAAGACTCTTAAACTATTGGGGCCTGGACTGTGGTAATTAGAGACCCTAAAACCGGGACTGGGAAAGCGTACAGCGTGATTCCGTTCAATCCATTTGATGACACTTTCAGAAAAGAAACAAAAGATTTTATCGCTGGCATTAAGAACAGCAAGATTCATTGACAGTAGTAAAGATTTAACCACTGGCATCTCAAGGAATAGAGAGAGAGAGAGAGAGAGAGAGAGAGAAATGTTAGCTTTTCTCGTAGGTTTTCACTCTCATTTTTGCGCTTGCTTTGTAGTCTCCATCTCGCTGTGTCTCTATCCCTCTTTTGTTTGTATGTTGTGATGTCTTGCCCATGAAATCAGGTGTTCCAAAACAAGAAAGAAAAAAAAAAAAAAAAGGAGAAAAACTTCAAAAAAGAACAAACAAAAAGTCGAGAAACAAACAAAGCAAACAAGGGGTTCCACACCTGGAGTTTGACCTCTTTGAAGGAGCATGTAAACTGGTTTTCAACTTTTCAATTCTTTTGAATGATTGTGAGCCGAGCAGGAAATTAATAACGCTGATCACACACACTCACACCGACACACAGCTGACGTTGGTGTTTTCTTGGTCGGTGTTTCTTGCTGTAGTAGTCTTCTGTCTTAGGTAAGTTGTCTTCTAATGGGGATGAAAGTAGTGCCAGT